ACTTGCACAAGTGAACAACACAAGCACGCTGACACCAAACTCTACATACATTAAAACATAATAGAAACACCGCCACCCAATCCCACCCTTATCCATCTTCCCCCTCTCCACCCCCCTTTCTTTTTTCTCTCCTTTTTATTTTTTATTTTTATTTTCTTCTCCCCCTAATGCCTCAACAAATGAAACGGATTTGTAAAAATGTTACATGGGGAAAAATATATATGAGGCACTACACTTCTGTAAAACAAGAAAATCCTTAATAAAATATTAAAAAAAAAAAAAGAAGCAGCACAATTGGCTCCCCCTCGTGGCTCTTTTGAGTGCATCTTTGTGCAGTCTCTAGTGGGCGTTGCTCACAATGTAAACAAGGAAGTAAACAGAATCTAATCGTTAGTAATTAAGTCTGGGGAGTTCTGCCTTTGGATGCAAAGGATAAGTGGAGGACACCAGGGGCAGCGGTTGTCTTTCTGAGGGTTCATTTTGTGTCCTGGTCTGTGTTAGTCTTGCAGTCTGATCATCAAGTCTTTTCCCTACCCACCGTTCCCAGTATGAACCCAGTCAGATGCTCCCATAGTCTTCTGGTCATACAGAGATACCAATGACATTGATAAGCAGGCTGGCAATTGTGGTGTTTCCCACTGCTGCCCTTTTCAAGAAGAATCAGACCAAGCCTTCCCCGAATCTGGTGCCCTCCGGATGTTTTGGACTACAACTGCTATCAGGCCCATGATCATTGGGACTCATGGGAGTTGTAGTCCAAATCAACAGGAGATCATGGGGAGGGCTTGATTGGACAGCTTTAGGGACTGATAGATCATTTAATCTTCTATGTTCATAGGAAGTCTATTTCAGATTGCTTTATGGTATGGAATGCCCTTTACGAAGCAAGCAAAAAAATTCCTTGGCTTTGCCTTTTAGCTAGATCTCCTGCTTCATTAACGGCGTAATAGCTTAAAAATGCATACTCTTTTTCACTTAATGACACTTCTCCCTGCCCACAAATACACCAGCCTGCTTTGAATTGGAACTAGTCGTACCCAGACTTCTTCCCTGTCCAGTTTCGCAAGGGAAACGGCTACCGTTTTACCATGTTACATAGCTTCAGGCTTCAAAGAGGTCCATTCTAGGTGCCACAGTAAACAGGCTGGACTGTAGATGTGAACTGCATTAATGTGTCCCCCTCTTCCTCATTTGTTTCTGATTCTTATCATCCCTCTGGTCAAATAGTTCACCAGGAATGTCTCTCTGTTGAAGTGCTTGCTTTGTTCTCTTCCAGTCATGGCTCTGAAGAGGGACGGGACCCTTTGCAGCAGAGTTTGCCAGACCGGGTTGCGTATGTCGTCGGCTTCCTCAAGAGTAAGGGATCCTGCCACTTGGTGCATCTTGGCTCTTTCTGAATTTAGATAATCTGTTGTCTGCACATCAGCCTGAGCCTCCATCTGCCACACTCTCCAATGTGGAGGAAACTGGCAAGCAAAGCTGTTGTTAATGCAGAAACTTCCTAACATCCTCCCCTGTTCCTAGAAGATGGATAGAGTTGGTGGCAAGAGTGGCACTTTTCCATACTGCACTGCTTTTCCCCGCTCATACAGTTAAAAATTACAAGAGTATGTGAGCCTATGTTCAGCTCCCACAATGATTTTGTGAAGATTGAGCATTGGAAGAAAGTAGCCAGCAGGTCCCTCTACCCATGTAAGGCCAGGGGAGGGGAATAAACATGGCAAGGCTTGCTAGGCTTAAGTTCCCCTTCTGCCTACTGGTCCCCCTTTTGCAGGAGAGAAGAGAGAAAACTCAGCCAGAGACATTTAGCTGCCCAGAGGTGATTCTTACTTGCCTTGGGCCCACATGGTTAAAGGCTATTTCAAGCCTGATCTCAGGTGCAGTCCAAAGGTGCTCATGGCAAGCTGCCACAGCTAAAGGAGAGGAAGCCACTGGAACGCCTCTGCTGCTTCTGAGCAGTAAATGCCCCCAGAGCAGCTAAAAGATGAAGTGTACATAGATGTAAAGCAGTCTAAGCTTTAGAGCCGAAATGGACAAAAATGTAGTGGCTACACTCCTCATTTTTGCAGCCAAAAACCTTCTTAGATCTTTTTGATAAACCACCCCGCACTCTGAGTTTGGCAGCCTTCCACCTGAGGATGGGGTGCAGGTGTGGGATTGTTTTGGGTTCCATAACTAGTCTAGACCAGTGTTTCCCAACCTTTTTTGGGCAAAGGCACACTTGTTTCATGAAAAAAATCTCGAGGCACACCACCATGCCAGATGGGGAAAGGTCACTTTTTACTTATGGAAAAAATAAATAAAAAAATAGTAACAGCATAGAAGGTAATGGTTAAGCTAGCATCCCTCTTCCAAATATGCTAGGTTTTTATTTGCAGGGACTGTTCTACATGGGAAAGCATTCAGCACTGTCATTCTCCCATCTGCCATCTGAATTGGTACTATTCTGGGTCAACTTACTCTGCTGCATGTGTAGATGAAAATGGCACCAAGTGTGGGGGAGGGGTCAGAACAGGTTTCAGATACAGGATATTAAGCATACACGTACTTCAGATTGAACTGGTTGCTTGCTTTGCAAGTTTTCATTTCCCAAATGACTGCCTTGGCAAGCGCAATACCTACCAGGCTCAACGCCGGTCTCGCGCTGCCGCTTCCCGCGCTCTCAAGGACCCGGGAGGAGGAAGGCGTGAAGGGAATCCCGAAGGCGCGAAAACCTCGCGCATGCGCAGGCCTTCCGCCTGCGACAGCCCAGTAGGCCGGCTGAAGCGAGCGGCGATGGGATGTGGGAGGGAGCTCGCTCGCCGCCCCGCGTGTGCCTATGTGGGGCACGTTACAGCCCAGTGACGTCAGCGCCACGCAGGCAGCCAGGCAGGCAGACGGCGAGAGCCCCGCGCTGGGCGGCCTCTCCTCGCCGCCCCGCCTCTCGCCGCCCGCCTCCCTCCAGGCAACATCTCGCGGCACACCAGGCAACGTCTCGCGGCACACTAGTGTGCCGCGGAACACCGGTTGGGAAACACTGGTCTAGACCTTTTCCTTGGGGTTGGTGCTGTGATTGAATTCAAAGACGCCTTTGTAAAATTCACATTCCTCTTCCAGAACGTTGCAAGCACAAATCTACAGCACAGAACTTGGTATCTGAAGAGAAGCTTCTAGCAGCGGAGGAGTTGGAGCTAGCCAAGGTATGCACACACCTGCTGCTCTCTTTATTTAGGGGCTCAGGCTGGCAAGTTAAATCTCATTGTGGGAGATGGTGGTTAGCAGCGTCAAGAGGACATGCTGGAATGAGATTCTCAACGTGCCCCAGAGGGTGAGAGGGTGGTGCTCAAACAGGGCTCAATAAGCTAAAATGCGTTAGAAAATATATATTTTAAAGTCATCGACAGAAGGAAACACATTGCAGCTTATAAAAGGGGTGAGCGTAATGGTATGAAGGAGCAATCAACGGTACATTGTACATGAATAAATATTGGGAAAGGGAGAAATAAGGAACAATGTTATGCAGATGATGATTATATGGAAAGCAAAATAGAATATGAATATGTGACTTTGCTATTAAACTTTGAAAAACAATATGCAAGATTAAAGTTAACCATTGGTGGGTCATATGCTGCCTTCCCCCACAAACTCCACCAGCCCTCTAGATTTGCATTATGATCTAGTCTCTTGACCAAAGTTTTATTCCACTCCACAGCTCTCCTAGATCACCTTCACTATGCATGCAAATGTGCCCTCACAGTGAAGTTCATTAACACAAGTCATTGTTTTAAACACATACAATGGTGGCCTGATAAGTGGGAGGAGCTATTTCCAAATTATGGAAAATCACGCACCAGTGGTGGAAAGATAGCAACCAATCCTGGATCGACATACAGCTTATTTTAGAAAGGTTCTAAGGACATTTGTAGAAAGCTCTATACACAACATCAGAGTTCATATCTTTGCATCTTCTGACAGGCAAAATGCACAGTCTTGCACTCCCTTTGTATGTATGTTACATCACTCTGTCTCTGCCGTTCTTCAGGTGGTCATGCTGCTGTTTTACTATGCTTCCATGAGTGATAAGATTCCCAGAGAATGGACCACGGTTGAGTATGATCTCCAGGTAACTCAAACATTCTGCCTCCAGCTATAGATGCCTTATCAGCTAAGTGACCATTTGGAGCCTGCTAGGGATGGAAGAACTGTCTGTGGTGATGGTTGTGGGGTGGGTCACATTCCACAAAGGATAGTCCAAGCAAAAACTGCAGAGGGGAAAGCTTGCTTGAAGGGCAGGATACCTTCCTCTGGCTTTACATGTGACCAGAAGTGCCTTTGGCTGGGAACCACAAGTAGGGAGGGCTGCACATTTCCTCCAGTGGGGGCATCTTGTTGGCCACTGTGAGAAGAGCCATGTGCTGAACTAGAGGAGCCATTTGCCTCATCCAGCAATGAAGGCTGCTCTTAGATTCACAGTTGCTCATTCTGCCCTGTCTCTTCCTCCTCCTCCTCCTCCCTGTTCCCTCAGGCGGAGATGGCTAAGTCGCTGAACTTCATGTTGTACAACGAAGATTGCCTCGGTGAGAATCTGGAGACCTTCCTTCAAAAGAAAAGTAAGTGCCGGGTGAGCATGCGGGACTGAAATGCCTTCAGGGGCACAAGGCTGCCCTGCTGACTTCAGTGGCTCAACCCAGATCGGGCCACACAGTTTGATCTCATAGCTGCCCCACCACAGGTTTGTTGGAACAGCAGTGAGCAGCGGGAGGGGGGCAGCGGTTCCTATACAGCAAGTCTAAAGAGGATAAAGACTGAGTCACTAGTTGGGGGTGGCATTTTTTGCTGAGCTCTCTGTTGAGATGCAAGTGTTCTTGGTGAGGTTAAGGCATTGGTTCAAAAGCTACTGTCTTGCTTTTCCAAAGCAAGTAGGAGCCAGGTGTAGGCATTAGCATGGCAGAATTTACAGAGGGTGGGGAGAGTCAAAGGGAACGATGCTGGCTGAGCTCTTGCAAATTGGTCGGAGTGAGCAGGAGCTTTAAGGGCCGGAGATACTGCATTGATGCAGAATACTGCTGTCCAGAGCTGGCTCAAGACTTACACCCCTTATGTGGCGGCTTCTGAAAAACACTTCCCTGTGGAGGTATTCTGTCTGGCAGACAAAGCCTCTTCTTGCTTCTGGCCCATTGGCATGCAACATCTGCACGCCAGTGATGCACATCTCCAGCCTCAATCAACTTGTATATCTGCATGCAAATGAGTCAGAAGAAGATTTTATGCCTTGTAAACTTTCCATGTTGGATACAGAGTAAACATCATTATGCAGCCTCTGTATGGGGGCCCTAAACTGCAGAGAATCCTGGAAAGTGGATTTCTACTTGTCCTCACAAGACACTTTGATTGTGTGTTGTGTTTGCCTTTAGATTGTCTGGCTGTTACTGTCAGTGAAAGGCCCTTTATGCTTTGGGAACATACTATCTCCCATTTGGTATTCCTGATTCTATAAGCCACTCATAGCCCCTCTTCCTTGCTTTTTTCTTCCTCCGCTAAAAAAAACCCCTGAAACATTTTCTTCATAAGCTGGTTGATCTGTCCACTTAATAAACCGAATTCTTCGTTCCTTGAACTTCTTCAGCTGACCCAAACGGGGTGGATGGGGGGTGAATGGACCCTGAGCTTAAGGTTTTGCTGCTTTTGCTTCTTTCTTGGCTGCTGCCAAGCTGGCTCTGACATCCTGCACACCCTCCCTCTTCCTCTAGTGCCACAATCATCCAGTATCTCCAGCACCAGCTCGGAGGAGACCACCCCACCAAGGCGAGAGGTACACTTCTTGAAGCTGCAGAAGGTCGCCTCTTCATCCGGCTTGAATAAGTAAGTTATTGATGAGCTGTTTCCCAGGATTCGTGGTTGTAATTCCAGCAGTCTGATGCCACACAGGCAGATGGAAACCCTCCTTTCAGGGCACTTGCAGGATTTGATATGGCCCCTGCCTGGGGAAACCAAATTCTGTTCCAAGGAGACACCGGATCTCTGCTTTTGATCTAACTAAGTTACTTGAGGCTTTTTCCTGTTATCGGAAATTCAAGGGTCCTCTTGGGCAAATGAAGACACCGACCAGAGCAAGTCAGAGCAAAACAGCAGCCAGTAGGCTCGGTCTTTATTTAGAAAGACTGTCGCGACAGGACTCCCACCGCCCACAAGGTGAAGCAAAATGGAAGCCCTGAACAAAGGGAGACCCTAACTTTTATTAGTTGCTAATCCCCTAAGTTACACCCTCAGAATTACATCACATTTACATCACGATTATATTAAAAGTAGGAGGGGTTGGGGAGGGGCCGCGCAGGTAACCCGAGTGTCCTGACACCTGGCCGGAGCCCCCTTCCCCCTCCCCGCATGAGTCATGTACGAAAACAAAGGAAAAGGGCAAAGTTTCCTGCCCCCTGAGGAGAGTCCGATCACAGTCTTTTGTGTATGTCTGTGCGGAATACACCAAGATATACAGTTCATTGTGTCTTTGATAGCCTCCTGTCTGAGCCGATCACTGATGGCTATCAAGGTGGTCACGTCTAGTAGGAAGGAACACAGAGTACGTGACTGCTCGCTTAAGGGATTATGGCCGCTTGATTTCGGACCACCCCCCTTTGATAGTCTTTGTAATATCCAGCAGAATAAAAGTGGTCCGGTGAAAATCCGAAGTACGGCTGATTTTTAGTGAATTTATGAAGAATATTGTCTCTGAAGTTCAAAGCACTTTCGCTTTCAGGAAGCGGCTTGCTACATTTTGATTAAATCAGTCACGGTCAATTGAACTCGGAAACCTTGTATTGAGAGCTGTCAAAGGTAAGGGGGAGAGCGGCAGTAGCCTGCAGTACCCGCGTGGCCGCCGCAAGGGGCGCTGTTCGGTAATGTTGATTGGCTGAGGCGGGCGCCGATTGACAGCAGAGTTCGGTCGGCCGGTCTACTCTCAATAAAAATAGGGCGATGCGGAGCGCCATAGCGGGAAGCTGTCAAGCCAGCGCTTCCTTATTTACGGAAGGCTTTAAGGGATGTCCCTCTAAAAGGGACATCTCCAGGGTCAGGAAGGGGGAATGTATGCGTGTGTGAGTGTGGTGCTTGTGTAACACGTGTCAGTGAGTTGGGGGGGGGGTTCTCCGGCGACAGTTCCCCCCTTCGGAGATAAGATTGCGAAGGTAGGAAAACCGCGCAATCCTTCTCTCCGCATAATCAATAGAGGCTTGACCTGTCATACCTAGAGTCCAGGGTCCGGAGGTGGTGCAAGGGTCCCATCTCGATGGGAGTTGATTGGATTTCCGATGCCGGTGGTCTGTAGATGGGGGTCGATCGCGGATGAAGGATAGGAAGACAAGAGCCGCAAGTTTGACAGCAAATCGGAAAGCAGTGGATCATGCAGCAGAAGAAAACAATGCAGATGGCAACAGTGACCAATATTAAGAGGCCGTTCCCCAGAAGTTGCTTTATCCAAGTCGACCCAGGTAGCCAGCTCCAGAAATGAGTGTCCGATAGGCCCTCGTGTTGGATATCCCTGAGTTTATCGGTCAGTTTGTAGATGTTATTAAGGTGCCCTGTGATGTTCAAGGTCTGATCAGTGACGTGCGTGCAGCATTCGGTTCCTATGAGGGCACAAACCCCTCCAGTCGAGGCGAGTACGTAGTCCAGAGCAAGGCGGTTCTGGATCGAATTCTGCCTGACCTCTGTTAATTCAGTTAAGATGGATTGGGTAGCTGCATTGGATTCTTCCATAAAGTTCAGCAGTATGTCAGTCAGTTTGAGGATATCGACGTGGTTGGAGCCGGCCCCATAAGCGGGAAAGAGGGCCCGGCCGTAAGTTTCCCCGTTGGCTGCAACATCGGAGAGTTCTGACAAATCTTTCGCTCTCTTGTTGCACCTCTTTCCGGGGGGGAGTTCTTGGGTAACACGGACCCCAGGTAAGATTAGTCCAAGGTAACAGGTGCCACGAGAGTGGGGGCTGGCCCATGTATAGCCGCGGTGGCCGCAAATCCAGAACAGCCCCTGCAGGCACGAGTCTATGCGCCCAGTATGGAAGGTGCGGAAGAAGCACTGGGAAATCGGGGAAGGGTCCCAGGAGTCAGGCAAGTTCATCACACGTTTCCAAGCGGACAGTAAGGTAAGGTGGGTGGAAGGGTTGCCTTGGTGCCATAGGGTAATCCTGCCGCTTAAGGTAATATCGAGGGTGTACTTACAGGTGCTCTCACCGATAACTTTGTCGTTGCCGCTGAACTTCCGGCAGAGGTCGCCTGTTGTGGGTCCTGTCAGGTAGATGTACTGGTGAGTTAAGTTCACAGCGGTCAGGTTCCAGGACCGTACATCAGCGGAAAGATGTTGTTCCAAGGTGAGGGGCACTCCAAGGAATGGTATGCCACTGTGGAGGTGTGAAGGAGCGTTGGCGCAGATCCAGCATTCGTTGGTGGTTGTTTGTCTTGCAATTTGGGAGATCAGTTTCACATAGGTGTTGGAATGCCAGGTGGACAAGAGGTCGTTGTTGTTGGAGTCCTGGGACGTTGACAGTTCCCCCCTTTGTCGAGGTGCAGTGCCCGCAGGATGAAGGGGGTCTTGGCGCAACAAGTAGGTTAAGTTTGTGGCAAGGCCTCCACATCTTTGGGGGCCGGTGGTGTCCCATTCTGCTGTAGGAGGTACGGAGTAGTGCCATCCTTCTAGGTACATTTTGCCGTCCCAATTGGAGGCTAATCCAATATCCCAGACGCAGCAGTACCTTCGGAGGCAGATGCCTTGTAAAATGGTTTGGCGGGGAGCAGAATCTACCCTTTGACAGTAGAATCCGTGGATCAGACGATCCGTGGGGTGGTTTTGGTCAGTATAGACTGACTTACCACCACTAGTATCGAGGACAGTCCAGTTCAGCGATTGTCGTGGTGTACCATCGGAGAAAAGTACGTAAGACCCATTGAGGCATTGGGCACGGTTCCAAGGCCCGTCTCTGGTGAGTATGAATTTGCCTAGAGATCGGAAGGATGGTGAGCGAACAAAGAGTTCCCAGGTTTGGTGTGCGGAGAGGATCGGTGAAACGGAGTGCCGAAGGAGGACGCGGGTCTCTGGCAAGCAGAATTCGAAATCCCCAAGGCGGTCTAACGTTCCTCTTTTTACCATATCAACGATGCCAAAGTCCAGGTATTTGTATTCAGTTTGTAATCCAGGGCAAGAGGCATGTGTGATCGTGGAGTTCTGGGAAAAGGTGGTGGTGAAATGGAGGAGGAGTAGGATGGGTATGGTGATTGTCATAGTAGGGCTGTCAAACGAGGAGCGGCGGGCGGTGAAGCTGTCAAACTGCAGAGCTGTCAAATGGGGAGCGGCGGGCGGTGAAGCTGTCAAACTGCAGAGCTGTCAAATGGGGAGCGGCGGGCGGTGAAGCTGTCAAACTGCAGAGCTGTCAAATGGGGAGCGGCGGGCGGTGAAGCTGTCAAACTGCAGAGCTGTCAAATGGGGAGCGGCGGGCGGTGAAGCTGTCAAACTGCAGAGCTGTCAAATGGGGAGCGGCGGGCGGTGAAGCTGTCAAACTGCAGAGCTGTCAAATGGGGAGCGGCGGGCGGTGAAGCTGTCAAACTGCAGAGCTGTCAAATGGGGAGCGGCGGTACCTTGCGGAGTTTCATGCGGATGGGGGGTTTATCTTTATGGCTAGGTGTAGTGATGAGTTCGGAAGACCAAAGTGTTGATGTGAGAGGTGAGTCAGGTCCGGTCTGTAGGGCCCGATTCGTGCCCCGATCTGGTCCGGTCTGTTGGGCTCGATTCGTGCCCCGATCTGGTCCGGTCTGTTGGGCTCGATTCGTGCCCCGATCTGGTCCGGTCTGTTGGGCTCGATTCGTGCCCCGATCTGGTCCGGTCTGTTGGTTTTGCTCGTTGCAGTTGTCGTCGTCTGCTGGTTGGCGTGGGACGTGGTAGGGCGAGTCGTCCGGTGTGGGTTCAGGTGGCAAAGCCGGCTTGCAGCGGGTGTGATGCAACCAGGCTGTCTTTTCCGCTACCTTAATAGAAGTTGGAGTGGTTAAAAGTACTTGGTAGGGGCCCTCCCAGGTGGGCTGTAGAGGTACCTTGTGATATGTTTTTGCTAATATCCAGTCCCCTGGTTGGTACGGGTGGATGTTTTCATCTAGGGGGATGTTTTGGCTTGAGGCAGCGTATCTGTGGAGGCGAATGAGTTGTCTCTGTAGGTGTATCACATATTGTGTTAAGTCTGACTCGCCTACTTCCAACTCGGATGTTGGAAATTGGGTATTATATACCGGGGAGGGTCTACCAAAGAGTATTTCATAGGGGGATAGGTTTAAGTTTCCTCGGGGACAAGCTCTGAGATTATGTAAGACTAAGGGGAGAGCGTTGATCCACTTGATTCCAGAGTCTTTACAAAGCTTTCCTAGTTGTGACTTTAGCTGTTGGTTCATTCTTTCAACCTGGCCTGAGGATGGGGGATGGTATGGGGTGTGCAATTTCCATTTGATCCCTAGAGCTGTCGCGACTTGTTGAACTATCTCTGAGGTGAAGTGGGAGCCTCTGTCGCTATCTATATGTCTGGGTACCCCGAAGCGTGGTATTATTTCGTGTAGTAGAGTTTTTGCAACCATTTGGGCAGTAGCTCGGCGGGCTGGGAGGCATTCTACCCATCCAGTCAACTGGTCAATGATGACGAGGGCGTGTTTATAGCCTTGACAAGGGGGCAAATCTATGAAATCAATCTGAAGACTTTCAAAAGGGACAAAAGCCCATGGTCTGGCTCCAGGTGGACTTCTGGCAGTATGCTTAGGATTAAAGGTTTGACAAGTGTGACAGTTCTTTACTGCCGTCTTAGCGGCAAGGGCTAGTCCGGGGGCATACCAGCAGCGTTGAACTGAGTCTATAAGTTTGTCTCTTC